CTTCTGAATGCACGACGACCTTAGTTAAATAATTTTTATTCTAATCACCTTCATAAATAGCCTCTCCATTCTTCAATCCACTCACACGCATGGGCATCATGCCTTTTAGTGCTTTACGTTTGATCATTTCTCATTCCACTACTACATGCAACATGCAACATTTTGTCCTTTCGAAAATTAATTGCCATTGGTCTTCATGTGTACTACTTTGTTGGATGGTACAACAATACCATATTTTTATTTCACTTTTGTGCATGTTTGTGCAAGATCAATTTCTTTGTCATTCACAAGATATCACTTTTAAAAAGTCCAGTGGCAACGTGCGGGGTATTCACCTAGTTTTTTTAATAAAGGCGGTCGAATCAATAGCCGTCTCTAAAAGTCATTCCCAAAACAAGCCTGATTTCTACGAGGACGGCTGCTATTTTCAACCGCCTCCATAAATATCCCTATCTTTAAAGATGACTCTAGATGTAGCCGTCTTGGCAGATGGATTTCTAAAGGGGGCTGGATTTAGTGTTGCTTCTAAAAATGATTTGTAGATGTGCCTCGATCTAGAGCTGTCTCTAAAATACGTACAACACAGTAAATTTTGATTTTTTTTCCAAATGACTTTGAATGGAGAAACGCCCAAAACCAAAATTGTAGATCTCGAAGAGCTATACAACTTTATAGTTCACAAGTTTTTTATTTAAAATCATCTATCCAAGAAAATTTATGTTTGAATTTCTCACATTTGAAATCATCTATCCAAGGAAAATTATGTTTAAAATCATAAATGCTAGTATCTTTTTTATATAATTTTGATAAAATTTTAAAACGTTTGACTCTTAAAAAGTTAGAATTATACAAACTTGCCAAAACGTTTATTGGACAGAGTCCGCTGAATTGATAGTGCAATGGCTGAAAATTATATGCCAAAACTTTTGAGGACTAAACCAAACAATTGCCATGTATTTCTTTCAGTTCAAATTATAAAACGTTTTTAGCTTTTCTAGATATATATTTTTTTCCTATATATCTAGACATACACACTGTTTGGTTAGATCCACAGTAACACGTGTAAATGAACTCAGTTCAATCATATCTCCAACCGCCAACATCTGCAGCTTTAAATCATTTACGTTCGTATTACCAACGGTAGAACCCCAGTGGTATATATCTAAATGCATAATAAAAACTATATATTAAAAAAAAATATCTTGTAATTCTGAATGGATGGAGTATATTATAAAATTATAAATCATCGCGTGACAGCAAACCAAGTACCAGAGTGAGATTGAGTGACAGCATGGGCCCAGATGTCAGAGGAACGGCGACGACGGCGAGAGGGAGTGCTAATCCAATCCGAAACAGTCGGGCCTCGGCCTGGGTTCGGCAGACGGCAGGCAGGCAGGGGTACGACCACCCACCCGGTGAGTTTGACCCCTCGCCCGTTCGTCGGTGAAGGGATGACCAACCGCACAGCAGCAGCCTGCGGCGCCGTATATATAGCCGCCCACGCGCGGTGGCGGAGGCGGTATGAGCCCGAGCCGAGCAAGTGGGGGCCTGGCACTAGGAGGTCGCGGAGGGAGCAATGGCGGAATCTAGCGGGTCGGGGTCCGGGTCGGTGGACGTCGAGCGGATCTCCTTCGGCGGCAAGGTCCGACGCCATGAATTGTGGGCGCGGCTCTGTTTTCGCAATTGTATTTGGGTTGTTTTTCTTCCTTCGGATTTTAGTTAGTTTATTAGTTGGCTATGGTTACGGGCAGGGCATGATTGAACTGTGTTTGGTTTCTTATGTGCTATGTACTCCTTTCTTTCTGCTTAGAAATGATTGGTTCGGTGAAACTAAAGTTTATAGTAAATGGGGGTTTTTGTCTGTCACGTCGTCAAATGCTTTCACTTTTCGTGCTTTCTGTACCCAAAGTTGTTTCGCTGTTTTGTCATCTCTATCTATCAACCACGGGTGCACAAATTTCTGCACTGTTGATTTCATTTTCATAGTTTTGTACTTGTGCTGTACAATAAAAATGTTGGAATTCTAGTATTTCTTCTTGAAATTGCTACAAATATTTGGTCCATGTGTTCATCTGTTATGAGAATCATCCGATATTTGCCAAAACTTTGTTTGTTCCACTTCCAAGTTGTTCCTTTTCTTTTCTTTTCTTTCTTTTTTGGCCTGTGTGGTCAGTGCCGCTGAAATATCTGCTAATAAGTGAGTGCTTTTTTCAGGAGCATCTTGTGAGGACGAGATGTGGTTCTGTAACCGTTGCGGTGTATGGAGACGAGGACAAGCCTGCGCTTATAACATACCCAGATGTAGCTCTGAATTGTAAGTGTTTCCAAAGATTTTTTAATTTACTGATAATCTGTTATGACTGAAATCCACAATCGGCATACGAACATTGTTTATATGTTTCTGTTTCCTATTTGGCTTGGACAGACATGTCCTGTTTCCAAGGATTGCTCTTCTGCCCGGAAGCTGCGTCTTTGCAGCTCCACAATTTCTGCATCTACCACATCAATCCTCAGGGGCACGAGGTCAGTAATGGTGGTTCAATCTTTGTGATGCGATGTGCTTGGTTTGTATTTTGAGTTGCTTACATGATCTTTGCGATGACAATTGTTAAGAGTCCTACAGTTGGGAGCAGCTCCGATATCATCAGATGTGCCGGTGCCATCTGTTGATGATCTCGCTGATCAAGTCGCAGATGTGCTTGATTTCTTTAGGTATTGTATTGTAACATGGCATTAGTCCTAATAGTGCATGACTTCTTCATGCTACAGTTTTTGTCCAAAAAACATTCATTCGATAACCACATGTGTCTGATTTTAGCTGACTTCATTCAGTTTAGGATCTGTGATGTGCCTTGGTGTCACGGCTGGTGCATATGTTCTCACTCTCTTTGCGGTAAGTGCTTTTAAGAGTCAGACTCCAGACTTTTGATTTAATAGAAAATCACTATCCTATGCTGAGCTAACAAGGATTTTATACTCCTTAATAGACGAAATATCGGGAGAGGGTAATAGGACTGATGCTGGTTTCCCCTCTGTGCAAAGCCCCATCATGGAGCGAGTGGCTGTATAATAAAGTAACTTCACCTATTAGTGACAATTTACAATTTTCTCTCGTGCCTAGAAATGCTAATGAATTAATAATGACAACTCTCATACAACAGGTATTGTTAAATTTGCTTTATTATTATGGGACCCAAGGCCTAGTCAAGGAGTGCTTGCTTCAACGGTACTTTAGCAAGGTAGGTTCAGATCTCAATATTCTCATCTTGTTTTCTTGGGACTCATAGTTTATAGTTAACGTACTGATATAAGTCTGCAGAAACTGCGTGGGGATGTACAGTATCCTGAATCTGACATAGTGCAAGCCTGCAAAAGTGTTAGTCTCTTATTTTTCAATTTGGATATTCTCTTAGTTGTAGAAATACATCATAAATGCCAATAGTTTTGCACATTTATCAATCGTCACCTAGTGGTTGCTTACTGTTAATTTTATATGCAGTTACTTGATGAGAAGCAGAGTGAAAATATTTGGCGGTTTCTTCACTCAATAAATGAGTATGTTGCTAGTCATTTATTTTATTTAATGAGTTCGCTAGAGAATTCATCTCTGGAATCTTGATGCTCATATGGGTTTCCCCTCCACCAGCAGGCATGACTTAACAAATTCATTAAAGAAGCTGCAATGCCGCACGCTAATTTTTGTCGGCGAGAACTCAGAGTTCCATGAGGACGCTATCCATATGACCACAAAACTGGACCGCAGATACTGCGCACTAGTTGAGGTAATATTTGGATGTACGTGATGCCATCTCCAGATAGAAGCATATCTGGAACAAAAAAGTGGTTGCTCAGATTACTTTCCGTGTTAACTGCAGGTGCAGGATTGTGGCTCCCTTGTGACCGAGGAGCAGCCTTATGCGATGCTGATGCCAATGGAGTACTTCCTTATGGGATATGGACTTTACAGACCGTATCAGCTAAGCAGCAGCCCTCACAGTCCACTAAGCCCATGCTGTATATCGCCTGAGCTGCTATCTCCTGAGAGTATGGGTGTGAAGCTGAAGCCGATAAAGACTCGGGTTGCCATCAATTTCTAACACTGGCAAGCAAGCCTTTTGCATTAGAATGAAAACGGACTACCTGTCTTAGAAACCTGGAGACAGCCACAATCTGGTTGCTCAGGAATAGAAGTGGTGGTCACAACTCTGTTGTATAACATGGCAAATGGCCATTTCTGTTGGAGATAACCTATATAATGTACATCACAAAAAACAGGGCATAAGGGGACCCTGTAGTGGAGATAACCAGGATGTGTCTTTGTTCAATTAGTTTGTGTAGTCAGCTTTCAGCACAAATGTAAATCTCAAAGTAGTTTGACAGAAATAATAAGAATCCATCTCCAGGGTTTCATATGTTGAAATTTGAGAAAATTCCGTGTGTGCCATTGAATGATTCCATAATTCCGGGCAAACCACTGAATCTTTGATCTGGACATGAGTGCCATTGAAATTGTTTTTTCGTTCCATGAGTGCCACTGCCGTCTGTAGTGCAGCAAACAGCAGTTATCTCCAGGTTAAAAAGACACTTATGCCCCTCCTTCATAGATGTGCAGCAAAATTCACATTCTATGTGTGCCACTACATGAGTTATGTCGTATTTTGGCTGACATAAATACATGGACATAGAGTAATTAGCATCATAAACAGGTACATAAAAAATGGAAAGGATTAATATTTATATAAATTTCTGCAGCATATCATCTAAATGCACATAAAGTGACACAAGAAAATTGTACAGAGAGATATAACAAGTCTAACAAACACTGATATAACATGAGAATAACATAGGTTGACATTCCAAGTCTAAATGTCAAACTCTTACATAAGTGCTACGTGCTACATACATAAGTCTTACACAGCCAACATGGCAGTCTCACATATATAATATCCAAAAGAAGATGAGACATTCCACAATCTCATGCAAAAGAGAACACACAGCAATTAGACATCTAGCTTCCTTTTGCTTCTAGTGCACAATGCCGGGCTTCCAGGAGTGAAATGATCTATTTTGCTTCTAGTGCACATCGCTGGGCTATCTTGAGGAGTAGGCGCCGCCTTCTTATCCTGCACAAGCTTGGACTTGGCCCTCTTTCCTTTAGTCGCTTTCTTCTCAGTAGTTGGAAGCATGATTGCGGCCATTGGTTCAAGTTGGTTGGAACTGCACCACGACATCCTGTAATGAGGGCAATAGTATGGAAGTTAGGTGTTAAGTAATGCTCGTGAGCAACATTCTATGTCTTAGTGTTGGTTCAATGTAGCTGAAAACGAATTACAGTTAGGTTACTTACTTGATTGAGCTTGATGATGATGGTGTCCTCTTTTTCTTGGTAACAAGTGCAGCCAACTCATTTGGTGTCTCAAGAGGGAATGTCATTGTTGGTGCAGTGCAGATTGTAGAGAGGGTGCATCAATGCTCAATTTGCTAGGTTCATTTGTTTTTCTCTTCTTAGATTTTGGAGGGCCTCTACAACATTATTCATTTTTCATTACAAGAATTGAAAATTAAAGATTTACAAGAAATATAAATAGAGGTTGCAAGAGTTATGAAGTTTGATAATACTGGCCGCAAGCATGGCAGCTTTGTCTTCTGGATCACCATCTTTGCAGGTCCACCCGGTGGTGTCCATGTTGCTTGCAAATTGGACACTTTGGTGCCTCCCTTTTCTACCTTGCCCACCTTCAAAGCTTTGCTTTTATGCCTCTCGTGTCTTTCTCCTTCCGAAGTTGATTTGAGCGGTGGTGGATGCATGAAGAAACCATCTTTGAGACTCGAAAGCCATCGAGACTTATCTCGCAAAGCTGGAATTGCCTCCTCATATGCTGATTTGAACATGTCAACTGAGAAGTAGGAGTCCATGTGATCCTCAAGATTCTGACCTCTAATAGAAGTGATCATAGCAATTGCATGATTGCAAGGCTTTCCTGAAACTTGCCACTCTATGCACGTACAAGTTCTCTCCTTAAGGTTAATAGCATACCTGTATCATAAGCATGTAACCGGCAAGGATTCAGTTTAATTAAAATAAGACCATCAAGGTAATTAGCATCATAAACATGTGACCAGCAAGGATTTAGATTAATTAAAATAAAACCAGCAAGGTAATTAGCATACCTGAAACCTGAGCCGCCCCTCCTTATCACCTCTCCAATTTCATCTGAACCTTCAAGCACATCCATATCCAAATTTCTGCTCCTCTCCTTTAGGTTTTTCACAATATGGGGTAATATCTTGCCTTCCATCTTTCGTGCAATTTTCCTCCTTTTATTCCACTTGACCATGAGCTTTTGTCTGATCACGTCCATAAGATCATCTAAGTTCCGATCTTTTTCACTCTTGATCCAGTTGTTGAAGCTCTCAGCTAGATTGTTAGTGACATAATCTACCTTAGACAGAGTTGAAAACTGGCTTCTGGTCCACAATTTGGTGTGATTTTGCCTTAGATACTTCACTGCAGCAGGTTTAGCTTCAGCCATTTCATGCCAATGCTTGTTAAAATAGTATGAATTCCAAGAATATGCAGCAGGCCACAAGTTCTTATCAAATACCTTTCCATGATACCTCTTTTTAAAGTTACTAACCAAATGCACCATGCACTCCCTATGCTCTACATTTGGAAAAACAGCAGCTACACCTGCCATGATTGCTTGACCTGCATCAGTACATATCGTCAATCCTGGTGGTGTGCCTATAGCATTCTTGAGTTGCTGAAAAAACCAACTCCAATTCTCAGTGGTCTCTGAGTCAAACACTCCAAGTCCAAGTGGATACATCCAGTTGTGCCCATCTACTGCACAAGCTACTGCTAGCTGACCCTTGAACTTACCAGTCAAAAATGTGCTATCAGCAGCCAAATAGGGCCTACATCCTCTAAGAAAACCATTGACACATGGTTTTAGTGCAAAAAACAGCCTTCTAAACCTGATCTTCTCCTCAATGGTGTAGTGATCTATGACGACTAAACTGCCAGGACATGCCTCTTCAACTGCTGCTTTGAATCTGTATAGGTTGTTGAAGCTAGTGTCCCAATCACCAAATAATTGTTTCAGTGCCAACTCTTTACCATAAAAAACCCTTTCATATGACACAACAACTTTATGTGTATCTTTGATCCTTCTCTGTAGTTCCTTAGGTCCAATGCTAGCATCTTCCACTAACCAATCCTTAACCTTCTCACAAACCCAAAACTGAGTGGCTTGCGGCACGTTTCCTTTCCTCCTTTTACTCTCACAATTATGATCATCGGGGTTTTTCTTCACCTGTCAAACAAAACCAGCAATGTCGTTAGCATCATAAATATGTAAAAAAATTGGAAAGGACTCGCGTTTACCTTTACTGTAACCTTGTCTTGCATTGTTGATGCATGGATCCTCCACGGACACCCTTCTGATTTGGATGAGCAATGTGCCCTAAACCTCCCTGGATCACTCTTCTCAGTGTTATATTCAAACTCATGCTTGATTGAATGCTGAGCAATAGCCAACTTAAACACATTCATGTTGGGATAAATGCTGCCTACTACCATTGGTGGGTCATTAACATCATAAACAATTTCTGGTTCTATAGGCTGGGGTGGGTCCTGCTGCTCCTCATCAGATGAGGCATCATCAGTTCCATAGCCTGATTCAGAATCAGAGCTGGGCACATAGTCTCCTTTGGGCGTTGGCTGTGTAGGACATGCAGTTTCATGATCACCCTCATCATCATCATCATCATCATCATCTCCAGCATGCTCATTTTGCGGGAAAGGATTCACAAGATATGTGTCCAATGTGTCATTAGTTGTTTCTGTAGGTTGGGTACCATGGGAATCAGATTTTGTAGGTTGGGTGCCTTGTGTGATAGCTTTGAGAGGAGGGTTTTGTGGCAAAGAAGGTGTACAAGGCACAACATCAGAAATAACAACATTGGATATGTTCCAATCAGGAGGAGGAACATGTGGCTTCCTAGTATCAAAGTAGCCAATGGACATGCGGATGACTTTAGAGCTCTCATGCTTAGCAAACATTGCAAGCAGCTCCTCGTCTGTTCTGATTTCTACATGGGATTCATCGGCAAGGTAGAACAGTTTGACAACATCATCGTAGCCTTTAGGGTATGAATGCAAGATATCATCAACGAAGTCCTCGAAATTAGTATAGTCACTGTCTACAACCTTGCTGGTACTATACCAGCCACCCTCCACTCTAGTATTGTTACCAAACAATTTCATATCAAGGAAGAAACTTGTTTTTGGATCCATCCTACAGATGAACGCGGTATCAAATCGGAAGCTATCTAGGGTTCAACACAACAAGAAACCGAGATAGAACACAATTACTTACCCATCAGGAAGCCACTCTGGGCGACATGGCTCTGGTTCCGGTGGCGCCATGCCGCCCACCACGGTCCGGGATACTCTGGAAGGCATAAATGTTTAGAAGCATAGCTCGTATCCAATAGGTCCGGGCTACTGTATTGTTTTTTTTATTATTGTGGTATATTGGTATATATAAGTTGGTAATTTAGAAGCAAGATGTTTGCCCGCATAAATTCACTATCCTACAGTGTACAGTAAAACCCAAATTCATCAAATTAACTAGCAGGTAACCCCACGCCAAGCGCGGGCAACAGAGCATGCCGTGTCCAATAGATGTATGTAGAGTGGCAAAGGTGGCATAACCCGGTAGACCACCTGACAAAGCTACTGGTTCCTGTGTGGCCGGTTTTTTTCTCTTTGTAAGCGGCATTTTATCGAGCACCTAAAATGCACAGCACATGAAGGGCTAGGCACACCTGCAACGCACAGCACACCAAGGGCACAGAAAATACAGAAAATGGGTCTTCATGCTTGCTGTCCACAGGAAGGACAAACAATGCCAAGAAGTCACGACGGAGTCACCGGCGGAGAGGAGAAGAAAGGGTACTCACTGCGAACCGTGGCAGCCGAGACAAGGCCGGCGCAATGGCTTCTCCTCCGTGGCCGACTGTGCCGCCGCCGCTGCCTGCGTAGGCTGCAGGGGACTGGAATGGGGAGGGCGCCGGCGGCGGGCTAAATCGGCTCGGCCACCTGTGCCGGCGTGGGGCGCACCGGGTCGTGGACGGGCAAGCGAGGTTTTGGCAGGGACGCGGGACGACGCGGGAGGCAGGTCGCGCTGGCTCCCCCGTGGGCGCGCGCCGGCGGGCAGTGCACGGGCGTGCGCGGCGGCGGCGGAGGCGCCCGCGGGGAGGGAGCGGAGGCCGCGCGGACGGGTTGAGCGGAGGCCGTGTGGACGGGATTTCCTCTTTGTTTTCCTTTTTTTGGGGGGAGTCGATGTTTCCAGAGTCTGTACGGTGAGCTGTGGGATAGGTACGGGTTTTGCTGTAGCAGGGGACTCAGGATATTGACTACGCCAAGTTCACCCAAAGGGCAGGGGTAAAATTGGGATTTTTGAAAAAATTAAGAGACTCCACACTAGTTGACGGTGGAGAAACCTAATGGTCTTGACGGCAGTGGCACTCATGGAACGTAAAATTAATTTTAATGGCACTTATGTCCAAATCAAAGATCCAGTGGTTTGCCCGGAATTGTAGAATCATTTAATGGCACACACGGAATTTTCTCTTGAAATTTCATAATGACAAAATTTTGTCATGTGTTGCGCTACTGCACCTGCTGTTTCTGGATTACAAAGGACTAGATATACACACTTCTTTTGATTTACTAACTACACACAATGCAGGTCATTATTCTCCTTGAGTGAACAGATAAACAATGTATAGCCGACAGGAATAATCTTCTATGCAGTGGCCATGTATTTATACTACAATTTGTCCAGTTTCCTTGCAACTTCAGTTATAGTTGGACCAGTACTCATCGACAAGCTTACAAAATGCAGAGTTCTTATTTTCCATCAGAATTGATGGCATGTTGTACTCGATCATCTTGCCTGCAGGTATGACAGAAATTTATTACATCAACTTGGCTATACTCCAGAAAGGCTCTACTTTGTATCTCAGCCAGAATGGTTAGGAGTGGTTACCGTAGGAAAGGACCATGACCATGTCACTGTCTGTGACAGTTGGAACCCTGTGTGCTATGGTGATGACTGTGCAACCTGAAAATTCTTTCTTGATCACCCTCTGCAGGATGGCGTCGGTGGCCGAGTCGATGGATGCTGTCGCCTCATCAAGGACCAGTATCTTGTTCCTTCGGAGGAGAACACGCGCAAGGCAGAAGAGCTGCCGTTGACCGGCGCTCCAGTTCTCGCCGTCATCACTCACTGAAAATGTCAGGATGATTAGCAGTCAGAGAGCTTTCAGTGCTATGCAGCTCTGACAAAAATTGTATCTGATTGGTTCAGAGGGCAGTGTCATGCTCACCTGGTGATTCAAGTAGTCCAGGAAGGGCACTGATTGTTTTCTTCAGTTGGCACTTATCTAAAACCTGTAGAACACTACTGCATTAGGGTCAGGATTAACCACCGTGTGTCATACAAGAAGTGCAATGTTGCTATATTGGTATATATACTAAAATACTTGGTCCGGCAAACATTTCAGAAGGTATATAAGTACTAATCTGCAGCTCAGATTTAGTTTTGCTGACCTCCCAGATATCCTCATCAGAATGCAGACCCAGAGGATCCACATTACTCCTTACACTGCCTCTGAAAAGTGTTGGCTCTTGGGGAATGATGCTGAGCTTCATCCTCAGATCCTTCAGTCCAATGGTGCAAATGTCAAGGTCATCAATGAGTATTCGCCCGCTGTATGGATCAATAAGGCGGAACAGTGCACTCAAAAGAGTCGTCTTCCCACTCCCAGTTCTGCCAACAACTCCAATCTTGTTTCCAGCTGAAAATGTGCAGGTGATTCCGCGCAGAACCGTTGGCGCATTTGGCCTGTATTTGACCTGAAAAACATGATTCAGTATGAACATCTGGGAAATTGATAAATCATTTGAAAGAAAAACAACTCTAGAGCTTCGAGTCGCTTACTCTCAAATTATCCAAATCGATTCTTCCTTCAGATGGCCATGAAGGAGGAGGCCTTCTGTCAGGGATGACAGCCGGAGGCTCTTCTGGTAAATGCATGAACTGCATGATCCTCTCCACAGATATTATGTAATTTTCCAGATTTGAGTAGAATCTTGTTAAGAACACTTGAGCAGAAGAAAGCGTCAATGCATATGAGAGACAGAGACCAAGGAATCCTACGAAATAAAGCAAGAGCATAATAAAATGGTTAGAAGATTCAAACCATGTGCTCAACTATCTTCCTAAATAAACACTGTGCAACTATAAATTCTCTACCTGGAGCAACAGCTCCCTCCGGTAGTGAGACAAGAAGGATGGATGATGTGATGATGACCAAGATTTGCAGTGCTTCGACACGCAAAAGCACCCACTCCAGTGCTGCATTGGTGTAGAAGAACAGTGTCGCATCTGTGTCTATGAGCTGAAGATTTCTCTGAATAAACTTCTTTGTAGCTGCAAAGGCCCTTATGGTGGTCACTCCCAGCATCGACTCTGCCGCAAAGTTCATGACAGGTGCCTTTGTAGTTCCATTGATCCTTACTAGCTCCCTCGCCGATGCAATGTAGTACCTCTGCAACATTACCATAATTTTCATTTGCCTCACCATGCCAGAGCAAGGAATTGAGTTCAGAAATGGTGTTCACCTGAATGTATAACAGAGCAATCACAACAGGAACGACCACTAGTACTACTTGCCAGGTAACCATGGTCATGATAATTATGGTTCCTGCCACTTCAATTATGCCCGAGATGACAAAGCTCATCGTATACGGGATGTCAAAGTCTAAGATGCTAAGATCAGACGAAGCCTGCAAAGTGAAGAACATAGTCAGCAATTACATACATTTCCTAAGATGTCAACAGGTAGTAATCGATATATTCGGAATAGTTTACCCGGATCATGATCCTTCCAGTTGGAGTGGAATCGAAGAACAGCATTGGGGCCCTGAACAATGAATCCATGAACCCTGAAAAGAACTCCGTCGATGCTTTCAGGCCAAAGTGAGCAGCAAGAAGGCTCCTAATATAGGCGAAGAGGCAGCTTGCAGCTGCCATCACTGCATACACTCCAACCACAAGTACGACACTAAACTGGCGGCTTTGAATTGCAATTGCAAGCCAATAAGTTGCCAGGCATTGCAGGATGACGAACGCACACTGTGCGAGTATTAGAAGGACGAGGAGAAAACAGCCCTTCGACACTGAAACATAGTCCTTGTATGGTTTCAGTCCAGCTTCTCCTAGTTCCCTCTTCTCCTCTTCTGTAAGTTGGACCGACAGGAGATTAGCATCAGATATTTCTGCTTCGCTGTTCTGCTGTATCATCCGTATTTGGTTCTGAAGAAATGTGCCTGGCTCTTCTGCTCCTTTGCCACGATCCTGGGAGTCTAGTGTTGTTTTTGAATCCCTATGAGCGTTTACAAGCTGTTCAAATGCTGTGCCAGACTGCAGAAGCACCTCATATGTTCCTTCCTGAGTTATCTCCCCATTTTCCATGACCTGGGTGGAAGGATATATACGCTTAATCAGTGATAGGTAATTGTTTCAAGATAGTTAATTTATAGTGCCAAACTCACTCACCAGAATGTTGTCAACCTTGGAAAGGAACTCCACTTGATGTGTCACAAGAATCACAGTCTTGTTCTTAAGTGCTGCCATCACACAATCCTACATACATTCAGGAGACATATCAATGAAATGATCAGTATCTATGACAATAATGTTTCAGATGCATTCTTACATTGAAAAGAGTAGCAGCTGTATGTGCATCAACAGCACTGAAAGGATCATCGAGAAGGTAAATGTCGGCGTCGTTATAGACCGCTCTCGCGAGCTGAATCCTCTGCTTCTGTCCTCCACTCATGTTCAAGCCTCTCTGACCAATCTCTGTCAGGTCCCCATGCGGAAAGTTCTCAATGTCCTTGTCCAATGCACAACACCTTATCGCCTTCTCGTAATCCTCAGTGTTCATGGGCTTCCCAAAGAGTACATTATCGCGTACAGTGCCACTCTGGATCCAGGACGTCTGTGAAACATAAGCAACTGAGCCAGACACTGATACCTGAAGAACAGAAATGGGGAAGGGGAACAGTTCATGTCATATGCTTGATTTGATACTTAAAGAGCATTTAATTTTGAACAAATGTGCACTACTTGACATACCGATCCGAAGATTCTTGGTATCTCGCCAAGCATTGCGCACAGCAACGACGATTTCCCTGCGCCGACAGGCCCACAGACCGCAATCTTCTCACCCCGAACTGCCCTGACACTGATTTCTTTCAGAGTTGCAATGGCCTTGCTCGGCTCCCAGCTAAAGAAACCATCTTGAACGATGAGGCTCATGTCGGAGGCTGGCAACGGCATGGATGTCCTGTCCACCGCGTCGTCCTGGAACTCATCCTCGGCAAGGAACTCGCCAATGCGATCCAGCGATATCTTGACTTGGATCATGATGGACATCACCTCTGGCAGCACCCTCATAGGCTCCGACATGACGCGCAACGTGGAGAGGATGGTGAACACGACGCTGGCATCCAGCGGCGCGCTCCGGAGCGCGGCCGTCCCCGCGAAGATGACGGCGGAGATGATCGTCGGAGACATCCAGTACAGAGCGCTGCCGTAGGCCTTCTTGACCTGCGTCTCAGCAAGCCACTGGATCTCGACGTCACGCAACCGCTGCACCGTCTCCCTGAACCTGTCCTCCCACGAGTGCAGCTTGACGATCTTCATGGCGTTGAGCACCTCCGCCGTGGCGCGCTGCCTCTCGTCCTGCGCCTGCATGAACCGTGACTGGTAGCGCTGCAGCATCCTGGCGAGAGGGACGTTGAGCACGCCGCAGACGGCGACGGGGGCCAGGCCCGGCAGCGTTCCGGCGCCCACGGTCCAGAAGAGCATCGCGATGGCGAGGGCGAGCTGCAGCGGCATGCACCACACCATGTGCAGCCAGAACGGGAACTCGCCGATCCGGTACGCGTCGACGGCGATGTAGTTTGCGACCTCGCCGGCGGAGTGCCGCGTCCGCGCCTCGCTGGACAACCTCAGCTGCTTGTCAAAGATGGCAGCCATGAGCGCCGAGCGCATGCGCATCCCGAGCCGCCTGGACCCGAAGAACCAGTGCCTCTGCGACAGCGACTCGACGACCTTCATCAAGAGCAGGCCGGAGATGAGGGCGATTCCCGTGGCGAGCTCTCGCTCCCGCTGGTACGAGTAGGACACGAAGCAGTACAGGATCACCGGCGCCGCGCCGAAGGACAGTGTCCGGAGCAGCGTGTACAGCGCCGTCAGGAGGAGGTCTTTCCTGTAGCACGTGGCGAGCACCCAGAACACCAGATTGCTTGTGCCTGTCCTCCCGGCGGCCGTCTGCCTCCGCCGGAGCCATTCCTCCAGAAACGTCCGGCGCGCCTCCGCCGCCGCGTCGTCGGCGTCCAGCGGCGGGATGTCGCCGAGGTCGAGCGGCTTAGAGTACCCGAGGCGGAGCAACGGGTCCACCCACGTGAAGGTCAGGCGGCTCAAGTACCCGGCATCCCCGAACGCCGCCTTTCTCTGCTCCCCGCCCCCCGCCGTCGTCAGCAACGGCTGGGTCTCCTCCTCTCCACCATCGCTGCGGAAGGAGAGATTTCTGCAAACACTTACTGCGCACAAAAGAAGCATCGAGCTGACAACCCACGACGCGATGTCAAGCACGTCCATCGAGCTGCCCCTGACGATCTTCTCCACGCTGTACGCTGTGGCCATAGCTGCAAGCACTGCCCACCACGCCATGGCCGCAGCACGGGAGAACCTGGTCGGCCGAACAACCAAAGAAACCGAGACGACAATCCAAACCACCGCTCTGACGAAGAGCTCTGCCCTGGAAGACGAAGACGAAGAGGAAGAAGAGCCCCATGCGCCGGAGCTGATGTACGCAATGCCAAGAACGGCGCAGCAGAGAGAAGTAAGAGAGCACAGCCACGGCAGGTCCCTTGTGCGAACCCTGAATCTCATCGCGCAAGCAGAGACCACCAAGCTCAGGATGTAAACGGCGAGGAGAATGAGATTGATAAGATCGATCAGGCTCCTGTGGAAGCACAGAGATTCCATGTTAAATCCGAGATGATCTCCGTCGCAGGTTGATGCGAGCAATCGGCTGGACACTGGGACAACAAAGAGGAGTAGGTTAGGCGAGAGGACATTAACAAAAAGACGACGAATATAGAAAGAAAAATAACGCACTTTCCATGAAAAGAAATCTGGGAATGCAATGGTTTCAGTACGGATATAGTAACTTTATTGCTCCTTTGCATCTGCTGCAGAAGAGGAAGATCAGTTCCGTGAAGAGTTGGAGGCGGAAGGATAGCTTTAGATACTACCTACCTTGTATGATCAACGGACGAGGAGCCATTGCATTCCTTGTTTGATTTCTCCACTGTCAGGCTGCTAGGAACCTACTAGGACAGCGAAGAAATGATGAACATGTACACTGCCACCTAGAGCCTGGCCACAAGTACACGGAGGCAGCTATCATGGTTGGTCTCAGAAAACAAAATACAGTATCAATCTTCCAACGCAAACGCAGGCCAATAGCCTTGCTGCTCCCACCAAACGTCATTTTTCTGATCTTTATTGCCGAGGGAGATGCACGTGGTTCTGACAAACATGTGGTTCTTTGCTGCAATGTGCGTTGGATGAGAGCTTACGCTTGTGTCACCCATTTGCTTATGCTAAGCCTGCGAAACCACCACACAAGCTGATTTGGGTCAAAAAAGAAAGTGTACGGTTTCATTGGTGAAATTTCTTTAAGTTCGATTTATAGAAAATATTAGCAATATTTATATCTTCAAATAAGTTTTTTCATAAAAATATATATCCAACAATTAATCTAATAATATTAATTATTGACCATAAATATTAATATTCTCTTACATATATTTGGTCAAGGTTCAAACTATTTAACTTTTTAGAAAGTGAGAATGATACTCTTCGGATGTGTTTGGAGAAATAAGGTGGTCTATCTTCTACAAACTCCTCACCTTTTTGTTTAGTCTGTGGAATGAAATGGATTCATCCATTACCACCTCATTCTTGGTAAGCTAATAATTAATATATGTACAGGAATGAGTTAATTCCACCAAAATTTATAGGAGGAACTCACGATGTACCGCCTCTTGAAGCATGAGATAATTGCACAAACCAAACACCATTCGTAGACGGAGGGAGTGGCCCCCTTCACCAAGACATTAATAATGTTTACCACTTCATCCTCAAAAAAACCTCTTAGCTGTACCAACTCAGAAATCATGATAGTTTCTGTGACAATTAACTAGCGTGCTAAGACCTCTTAGCAGTACCAACTCAAAACCCATGATAGTTTCTGTGATCATTAACTAGGATCATAACTACTTAAATTGGGGATAGGATGAGTAATCTATTGGAGCAACCATAATCCCCTATATTACATTTTTTTGTGAACCTATATTGCATATTTTTTGTATTGTGGCCAGGGCTCGCGGTGGTATCTCTCTCACCCTTTCTCTTCTCTCAGTATCTCTCTCACCCTCTCTCTCGCAGACAGTCAGATATGATGGTGATGGCCACAACGGGCTCGATGGCGGCGATCCAAATCTTAGCAGTGGTGGCGGCGCGCGAGCGGATCTGGTGAGGAGTGCCATCAGGGCAGGGCTGACAAAAAAATGTGTAGCAAGGATACAGGATTACTTGCATTCAGACATGTAGGGGATAGCCTCCAAGGAGAAGAAATGTCACACCCAATTTTAAGGATAAAATTGAATGCATAATCTTATATGCGCCCAGAGATCAGTCACACACATAAGCCGACAAATTACAAAAGGTACTATCACAGGTGTTTATTACATCACGAATAACATGATCACATAGTCTTTACATAATGAGCATAGCGGAAAATAAAGATAACTCTCGTGGTAGCTCCATCACAGGGATGTCAACTGGTTGACCACAAGTCTAATAGTTCTCAGGAAACTTATCATAACCATTGTCATCTGTTACCCATCCGTTGAGTACCATCCTTCTTATCAACAAAGATCACATGTGCCCCCCATGGAGATGAGTTGGGCATATGAAACCTTTCTCCTGCAGCTCCTTCAATTGTTTTTTAAGTTCCTCTAATTCTCATTTACCCCCATTCTATATGGCCTCTTAGCAATAGGTGCAGTTCTAGGTAAAAGCTCAATAATAAACTCAATGTCGCAATCGCGTGGCATATATACCTAGCAAATCATCGGGTAACACATCCGAGAACTCATCCACAACTAGGTTTCCTTGCATAGAGCACATCCAAAGTCTTGATGGGATAGAGGAAACTCTTATGTCGATATTTATAATGCCTCCAATGAACCTACGATAGAATCTTATTATTTCAAAGGAACTCCGAGTCACTCTTATGTCAAGATTACAATGCCTCCAATGAACCTATGATAGTATCTTGCCATTTCCATGAAACTCTAAGTCTCACATACATCCTTTGGTGGGTTCCAACTCAACGCATCTTTAACTTTCTTGAGTCCACCATAATTCCATCATTAGAGATAACCTATCCAAGAATCAAAGCTTACTTATCATGCTTGGTGTAACAATGAGATTTTCTTATTCTCCATAGCACCAATTGTAAATGTCCAATATCTCCTTCCTATGTCAACAATGCTAACTTGTATTGGGTATGTCGAATATTGAACCCCCAACTGACGATAGCTCGATCCGAAGATCATTCTTGATGAGCACTTGAGTTCCTTGTACAAACCCAATAAGTTACCAACCCTGAGCAAAGATACTTGCACTTGATAGTGATTTCTCAACCATGGATATAGCTGATGCTTCCAAGTGAAGAACTACAAAACCTTCTTTACATTGGCTACCCCCCTTAACAAGAATTAAACTAGGGGACACCAAAGTAACTTGCATCTCCTTCTGGGTAGGTTGACTATCATAAAGACCTTCTGATATCCTAGAGAACTCATGTGCATAAATAAGAACATGTATCCTGGAATTTCTCGCGAACAGAAAAACAGCAGTGCAATAAAACAGCTATAACTCTTTCTCTGTTAATCCAATGAAGTTTTATTTTATACCGTTGGAAAACTTATCAAATTCCCTACAACTTTTCTGTAGAACACTTTTCCAGATTCTGTAGTTAAGGTAGTCAAACACAGTGCACAACATAAACTATTTCAGGTTTCAGACAGCACGGATGCATCGTCTTGTGATTTTTGAACTCTTAAACCAGATCAGCTATGAAGGTTCTTCTTGCGGTCACAGAAACATATTGACGTCTACTGTTTCCATGAATTTTTCCATCATTTATGGTCATCCAAAAATAGAGATATAGGCCAAAGAAGACAGATTGCTCCAAAGATACAAGATAGAGAAAACAAACACTACTACACAAATGATTTTGCAAGAAGGTGCCCTTTTATTAATGGAGGCGGTCATAAAATTCAACTGCCTCGGTTAAAGCCTACGATTAACGGAGGCGAGCATTTTTTATTTACCGAGGCGGGGCACTTTTGGCCGCCTCCTAAAATCGATTTATGGAAGCGGGCGTATGAAGGCAACCGCCTCCAAAAATCCTCTATTTTCGGAGGCGGTCATCTTAAAGCAACCGCCTCCAAAAATTCATTTCCAAAGGCGGGCACACTATAAAGCCCGCCTCCAACAGGCCCAGGCGAGGCCCGATCACCGTCTTCAAGTATAAAAAGATAGACTTAGGGTTTCTGGTTCACTCTCTTTCTCAGACTGAGCCTGAGCGGCGCTGCACTCCCTCCCTCTCCCGTACGACCCTCGCGAGCGCGACACCTCCCTGTCCCGCACTCGCTTCCCCTCCCGACCGGCGCCCCTCCCTCTCCCGCACTCCCTCCCTCTCTCCGCCCTCCTCCCCCACGCTTCCCTCGCTCTTCCTCCTCTTTCTCTCCCTCACCCGTAGTGGTCAGCGAGCGCAGCAGCAGTAGCAGGTGGGCCGGCGGCGCGGGGTGCCACCTCCTCCAAGCGGGATCTGCACCCCTTCTCCACCCCGATGGCAGCGGGCAGCGACACGGGGCTAGCACCGGTGGGCGGTAGCGAGGGCCCTCGCGCGTCTGGTGGCTGCTACAACAAGCGCACCGGGCACGGGCAGGGGCGGCATGAAGCAAGGTGCGACCCTCTCCCCCTCTCCTTCTTCGCCTTCTCCGGCAAACAGCGGCTGCGGAGGGCATTCCAGTAATGGAGGCGGCAAATCTATGGCGAGGAGGCGCATACAGCGAGGACCGCACCAGATCTGGCTCGACCTCCACCGCCTCCACCAGATCCGGCTGCAGGGGCTCCATGGAGGGCGTGTCCAGGTGTGGATCCGGTGGTGGCGGCGCGTCCCTACCCGGCAGTGGTGGCAGATCTAGGACGGCGGCGACGTGGTTGGGCTCGACGTTAGGCCCGTATGGGCTGGCATTGGGCTAAGCTGCTTTTTTATTATTTTAATTTGATTTACGGAGGCGGGCAAATCAACCGCCTCCGTTGGTCATGGATTAACCGCGACCTGTGATTGGATGCGGTTGGATAGGCGATTGATTTGCCGGCCTCCATTAATTGTTTTTGCCCGCCTCCAATGAGATTTCTGTAGTAGTGAAAAGAAACCAAAACCTAACTATTTATTTCATTAATACTTATACCTTAGACATATAAACTAAATGAAATTGTGGACAAACCCCACAATATCATTACACTCATTACAAAATCCAACTCAAGCATAAACATAAGCACAAAGCAACTAAGCACTAAAAGTTCACAAGCCACACATTAAGACTAACTGACTCCACTCAACTTTGCTACTAACGGTTTTATTACACAAGGGACATAAACTCCTACTTCTTAAACATAGTGTGGCTACAACGGCATCTGGGGTAACAACTCTTGTGTGGGGATGAGCGGGACACGTCCTCCACTTCATTGATCTTGGGTAGTCTAGAACGACTCCTCCACTCGTCAATCTCATCAAGGGCTTCCTCATAGTGTTGCCTTACTTCTGCCAACTCCAGTTGACTATCTTCTAACTTTTGATGCACTGGTAGCGGCATGTGGGCGGATCTAATGAGGAGTGCCATCAGGGCAGGGCTAACAGAAAATGTGTAGCAAGGATACATGATTATTTGCATTCAGACATGTAGGGGATAGCCTCCAAGGAAAAGAAACATAGGTGAAAAATCTTTCACATTGCACAAACTATGGTAACATCTTGTTTAATGGCGAGGGGTTAATGTACTTCCTGTGACGGACGAACGGATCTAGCGAGTAGTGGCAGCGTACGGGCGGGCCTAGCGAGCGGCGGTGGCGCATCGATGGGCTCAGTGGGTGTCGTGGGGTCAGAACCGCGGCAAGCATTATTATTCGAGTCGATGTCAAAGTATGTGTCTCTGGTGGCTCGGGTGGACTCAAGAACACAAGAATCATAGAGAGGATGCATTGGTTTATCTTGGTTCAGGCCGATCGATGCCCTATGTCCAGCAGCTGAAGATTCTTATACTCAAGAGCACTCAAAATCGGGGGGTTACAACAGAGTGTACAGGAGATAGAGAGAGATTTGGTAGGGGGGGCTAGCTGGGTGTTAATCCTAAGGTTGCCTTATCGCCGGTGGAGCCTTCCCCTCATCAGAGAGGAGGAAGATGATGGGTGCGGTGGAGGAGCTCTCGGTGCCCCTCTCTGGGTTGCCCTACTCTCGGTGCTGAGCAGCAACGGATCGGTGAGGAATGGTACGATCTGTCTGGGATTGTCCTCCCCCCTCTAGGATACGACCTTACCCATTATATATTGAGATAGGTCGGGTACATGGTGGTTTGGGGGGTTAAGCCTATGGTCTACATGTGCCAGAGTCTAGGAGAGTCTTGCAGTGGTGCTCTATGGACTAAGGCGATGTCGTGGAGCCAAAGAAGCCCTAGGCGTCGTCCGGCTGGCCTGTTCTGACATGCTGAGTGTCAGGCTATGTCGGCTTGGACCGGCCTCCCCCAGGCGCACCTTCTAGAGTCTTTTTGGTGGCAAGGGAGGTCAGCTCGAGGGACTGACATGCGAGCCCGGAAGCCCCTGAGCCTCTAGAGGCTGAGGAGGAGCTTGTCTTCTTGTGTCATGCCCTGTGCGTGACCCTATCGAGGGAGCAGCCGGTGAAGCCATGCCCAAGGTGCAGCGTTGGGAGCCCCGAGCCTCGATGGCTCAAGGCATGTCTTCTTGCGCCCAGGCCTTTGGCTGGCATCGTAGGCTAGGCAGGGGCTAAGGATCGGGCTCAGGCTTCTTGTCGATCGATAGCCTGAGGCTCGGGCAAGCCCCTAAGCCTTGAGTAGAGGCCATGGCATGCTCAGGCTCGGTCGGCTTTCTTGGTCTGAGGGTGCGCGCAAGGGTACCCGATGGGTATAGCCTTCGAGCCCCCGGGTGATCCTGGAGGAGTCGGTCGGGGGGTCTCTTCGATCGGGAACCATTGATCCTAAGGCTTAACATACCCATATGTTAGGATCTCATTAGGAGCCCCTAAGCCCTTCATGGCCTCACTTGGCTTGGTTCATGATGGCGATGAAGGGCTGAATTCGATGTTCTGGTGACTGAGATAGCCACGACAGGGATGGCTTCTGCTGATAAGAGTGCGATGCCTTGTGTGGGCCCTCTCCCCATGTGTGATGGGGGT